CTTGGGAGTTTGAATCCAGCCTACGCAACATAATGAGACCGCCATCTCATAAAAAAAATGCAGTCTCTGGCCCCACCACATAGGTAATGAAGCATCGTCACATTTAGCAAGACCCCAGATAATTTGTACAAACATTAAAGTTTAAGTGGTGAGCAGGTTCACAATCATCTTTTCTAAAGCACCCTATTCCATTAGTGTTAATGAAATTTCTGGCAAGGTTAACATACCATGAATGTTGTGGCTAAAGGAAACTAGTGCTCTACCTTTATTTAAAAAAAAAAAAAATACTTAAATGGGGCAGTGTTTGTGGCTCAGTGAGTAGGGCGCCGGCTCAAGGGCACCCAAGGGTGGCAGGTTCGAACTCAGCCCAGGCCAAACTGCAACAAAGAAATAGCCGATGTTATGGTGGGTGCCTGTAGTCCCAGCTACTCAGGAGGCTGAGGCAAGAGAATCGCCTAAGCCCAGGAGTTGGAGGTTTCTGTGAGCTGTGTGACGCCACAGCACTCTACTGAGGGCGATGGAGTGAGACTTTGTCTCTACCAAAAAAAAAAAAACTTAAACAGTGAATTTTAGATAAAAGGTATCTAGAAGGCAAGTCCAGAGATGGAAATCTTATGTATGCTTGCCTGAAAATAGATTCAAATATCCTTTATCCCTCTTAGAGACACGAAAGGAAAGGCATCATGTTACCATCTTCTTTCCCTCTCTCCAGAGCATTAGAGCTCTTGTTGACACAGTGTCACCTTGATATATCTAGTTATAATCTGCAATTGCAGGTCTTGAGAGTTGAGAGTTGCAGAGTTGAACTATCCCTACAGCTAGATGTCTGTCTTAGATTGGGTTGAATGTGGAAACTCATGAGGGAATGTCTGCTGGCTGGATCCAGTAATGAATTGGGCTACCCAATAGAACGTAGGTTCCAAGTCCTGATAATAAGCACTCCAAGTGGTTTGGGGGCATAGTAAAGTTGGAGAATCACTGCTCATTTGCATGCTATCTGGTGTCTATCACGTTTATGGATTTCCTTGGGCTCCCTGAGGTCCATGCTTAACACTCAGTAGGTGTTCAAAATATTCTTGAACAAATTAACATTCTCTTTTCTGAAGTCCTCAGACCTACTGGTATTATCTCTGAACTTAACCGAGTTGGAAGGGACTCAGATAATGACAGAAGCTTTAACCTTAACTGTGATCAGCCCTTTAGTGCGGAAGCCATCATCAAAGGAAAAGTAGAGCCAAGGGGAAGTCGCCAGCCCTTCATTCAAGCTCACATTTGCAGAAAGGAACTGAGACAAAGCCATCATGACTGCTGGTTTCCCTTTACTAGCACTTTTTCTGTACCATTTTTCTTTTTCTCTTTCTTAATGTCATGATAAACTATAATTTGAGCTGCTTTTATTGTTTCCCAAAGACTTTGGACTGCTCTGTGGGTATGACAAAAACTGAAATCTAATCCCTATTCTTCTTTGGGCTTTGGGGAAGTGGAACCATGGGTGTGTTTGTCATTTTTAGCAATCATTGGAGTAGGGCCAAAGCTCCACAAGATACTAAAATTGTCTAGAATTGTCTGATTGGCTGTTGGAATTAGCTGTTAAACAAAGCACCCAGTAACTGAACACTGGGGACCTTCTTGAACTCCAGTTGGGTGGGAGACCTTCCAGTGTGTCTGTCAGCTCTGAACTAGGACAGAGAGGTAGAGATTTCAAACAGTGGGCTGGTGACAAAGCACCTGATAAAAGCACTCTCCTCTCTGTCCTTTGTCTGGGAGTTTCACCTTGTCTCAGACTTGCTTCCTCTCTTTGTCTCTGTACTGTATACCAGGCTGTCCTGCCGGGTTAGATTTACTAACTAGCGGAAGAGAAGCCCCAAGAGAGGTACTGGACTCATGCTTCATAATGAATCTAATCCAGGAACTTAGAAGCAGTCTGACACACAGGGATTTATTTTGTGGATTGAAAACAGAAATAAGGAAAAGGAAATTTTGAAAATTGACTTAGTCTAGTTACTTAATTGTTTATAGGTAAGTTGATTCTTTGTTGTAGAAATTTCAGAGAAAGTACCTGGGTTTATTATTTATCTTTTCTTGAGGATATCTCTGAAGTATTTCAAACACATTAATTAAACCAAACCAATTTTTTTTTTTTGAGACAGAGCCTCAAGCTGTCCCCCTAGGTAGAGTGCTGTACCATCAAAGCTCACAGCAACCTCCAACTCCTGGGCTCAAGTGAGTCTCCTGACTCTGCCTCCCAAGTCACCCGCCACAACGCCCGGCTATTTTTTTTTTTTTTTTGGTTATAGCCGTCATTGTTGTTTGGCGGGCCTGGGCTGGATTCAAACCCGCCACCTTTGGTGTATGTGGCTGGCACCTTAGACACTTGAGCCACAGGTGCTGAGCTGACCAAATCAATTTTTAAAATAACTCTTTCATTAGTATCATGTGTATACTCTACTTTCCTTCATAGCCATGGAGCCCCTTGCAACACCATCTAAATTAGTACCTGCTGGGACAGCAGAACACACTGAATATCATAAAAAGAAGATGTGGGCTTATGGTCGTGGTTAGGGCTCTGGCCACATGTTCCAGGGCTGGTGGGTTCGAACCCAGCCCAGGCCTGCTAAACAAAAATAATAGCCAGATGTTGTGGCGGGTGCCTGTAGTCTTACTACTAGGGAGGCTGAGGCAAAAGAATCACTTGAGCCCAAGAGTTTGAGATTGCTGTGACTTATGACAACATAGCATCTACTGAGGGTGACAAAGTAAGGCTCTGTCTCAAAAGAAAAAAAAAAAAAGATGGCTCAGCGCCCGTAACACAGTGGTTATTGCGCCAGCCACATACACCAAGACTGGTGGGTTTGAATCTGGCCTGGGCCAGCTAAAACAACAATGACAACTGCAACTAAAAAACAGCTGGACATTGTGGTGGGTCCCTGTCGTCCCAGCTACTTGGGAGGCTAAGGCAAGAGGATTTCTTGAGCCCAAGAGTTTAAGGTTGCTCTGAGCTGTGACACCACAACACTGTACCCAAGGTGACAGGGTAAGATTCTGTCTCAAAAAAAAAATGATGTGGGATGGTGCCTGTGGCTCAAGGAGTAGGGCGTTAGCCCCATATACCAGAGAGAGGTGATGGGTTCAAGCCCAGCCCTGGCCAAAACTGAAAAAAAAAAAAAAAAAAAAAAAAAGATGACCAGTGTCTCTCAGCACTTTGGGAGGCTGAACCAGAAGGATTGCTTGAGACCAGGGGTTTAAGACCAGCCTGGGCAACATAGCAAGACCCTGTCTCTATAAAAACTTTAAAAATTACCCAGACATGGTGGCATACACATATAGTCCTAGTTATTCAGGAGTCTGAGGCAGAAGAATTGCTTAAGCCTAGGACATCAAGACTATGGTGAGCTATGATGACACCACTGCATTCCAATCTGGGCAACGGAAGGAGGCCTTGTCTCAAAGAAGAAAAACATGCTAACCAGGTGATACATTTGTAATACCCATAATCCACCTGGGTGACAGAGATTTTACTAAAAACAGTCTTAAGCTTCAAAAAGTATCAAAAAAGCCCCTTCTGGAATACTTCTTTGGTGTTTTTATTTTTTCTTTTTTAGAGATGGGGGAGGTCTCCCTACGTTGCCCAGGCTGTTCTCAAACTCCTGGTCTCAAGCAATCCCCCCCCCACCTTGTCCCCGCAAAGTACTGGGATTACAAGCAAGAGACACCATGTCCCTCCTCTCTAATTTTTTTTAAGCCTTTATGGGATGGGTGGAGAAGGGCTAATTCACCATTTTCTAGCTAAGAAAGTAAGCCCATTTTGTAGCTCACTCATTTACACAGGATGCCTTTCATATCCTTCTGCCTTGGACCCCTGGAAATAAACAAAGGTCTAGCCGGGCACAGTGGCTCACTCCTGTAATCCTAGCACTCTAGGAGGCTGAGGCAGGTGGATTGCTTGAGTTCATGAGTTTGAGACCAGCCTGAGCAAAAAGCGAGACCCCTGTCTCTACTAGAAAAACTGAGGCAAGAGGATCAGTTGAGCCTGAGTTGGAGGTTGCTGTGAGCTATGACGCCACAGCACTCCACTCAGGGTAACAGCTTGAGACTCCAGCAAAAAAAAAAAAAAAAAAACAAAAGTCTGTGGGATTTGCCCTACCCTCACAGCTATTATTCTCTGTCCAATTCATGTGTCAGCCTTACGCTGTGTCTTGAGAAGTTATTTGAAGTGTGATTGTTAAATAAAACTTTCTTTTTGATATCTTCACTAATGAGCCTGTAAGTGCCATGAAGACAAAATCTAGTTATTTTTCATCTCATGTCTGTTGCTGTACCTTGCATGGTATTTTGAACCTAACAAGCACCTTAATAAAAATTAGTTGATTTGGTAGTCTTAAGGATCAGTACCAGTTGGATCTCATTATTGGCAGTACATCCAAGGGAACAGATGTTCTCATTCAAATCCATGAAACTGGAAACATTAAAAAACAGCAATCATGACATTGATTGATAGAGATGTTTACTGTGTCAGACTGTTTAAGCTCAGCTATAAAATAGACTCTCCTACTGTCATCTTTACATTTTCAAAAGATTCTCAAACATTTAAATACTGTCACTTGACTCAGATCCTAGATCTTGCTTGATGTACTATTTAATATTTATCAAATTACAGCCCTGTACCTTTGAATTTCACACTTGAAACCTCTACTTCCTGAGAAAACAGCACTTCTGGGTGTATTGAAGATATTTTTGGCTTGTTATAAGAAAAATATTTATTAGCTAGCAGGGCATGGACTGATGAGGACACAGCAGACAAAGCAAGGCCAGAGACAGCAAGGCTGCAGAAAGGGGTGTCTTGCTGAGTCATCTGTCTTTTCTCACTTCCTAAATACTCTAGGTAACATGTAGGTTGTCTTTTGAATTGTTTTATAAAAAGCTATTTTACAACCTGAAGTATAATCCTGAGGGCAAGTGCATCATACTGAAAAGCTGTCCTTTTTATTTGTCTAATTCAGGTCCCGAGCAAGCAGAGCCACTTTCTTTATGAGAACCTCAGGTTTATTTCGTTTTCCTGCAACACTGACCAGAATATGCACAGTGCCATGGGAACTCCAGCTTTGGGAGAAGCTGAGATTGTTATCCCCAGGAATTGCTGTCACTCCAGTCCCGATGGCAGGCAAGAAGGATTGCCCTGCTCTGCTTTCCCTGGATGAGAATGACCTCAAAGAGCAGTTTGTGAAAGGACATGGTCCAGGGGGCCAAGCAACCAACAAAACGAACAACTGTGTGGTGCTAAAGCACATCCCCTCAGGCATCGTGATAAAGGTAGAAGAAGAGTGCTACTGGGGAGGACACCCAGCCTGGGGCTTCTGCAGCCACAGTAGAGTTCACTCTGAGAGCAGATGGTGATCAGCTGAAGCGCATTCTCATTCTGGCATAGGCCACACTGTACCAGCACAGCAGTAGAGCACACTCCAGATGTCATCCCATGCCTCAAGCCAGTCCTCCCTAAGCCAGAACCTCCTCTATAGTATCAGAAGTCTGGTTCCAGGATCCTTTGGAGCCAGAGTATTACTGCCATCCTTGAAGTTGGCAGACAGTACTGGCATCTGGCTCTTGCCTGGGAAGCAGTATCTTGACAAAGCTAAGCAGTAGCTAATAAAGGCAGGTGCCTGGGCAGCACGTTCTCTCAAGGCCTCTAGCTATAGGATGGCCACAGAGCTTGGCATCACTGCTGTGAGCCCCAAGCCCCTTAGTAGGCAGCAAGCAGGCCTGCATTGTCAGCAAGCAGTCTCATCCCTTAGATGGCCTGGCTAATGGATGTTTGGATGACCATATCCTCCATGTCCCTGTCTGTTCTTTGGGTAAATTTTTTTTTTTTTTTTTTTTTTTGAGACAGAGTCTCAAGTTGTCGCCCTGGGTAGAGTACCATGGCGTCATAGCTTACAGCAACCTCCAACTCTTGGGCTCAAGCGATCCTTTTGCCTCAATTTTTCTTTTTCTTTTTTTTTTTAGTAGAGACAGGATCTCGCTTTTTGCTCAGGCTGGTCTCAAACTCGTGAGCTCAAGCAATCTACCTGCCTCAGCCTCCTGGAGTGCTAGGATATAGGTGTGAGCCACCGCTCCTGATCCCCTCTTTTGGTAAATATTAATGATACCCACCCTTCTGGAGAGAGGGGACTGATTGTGAGCTAATGGAGGCCAGCCATTTTCAGCCTCAGAAGAAAAATTCCTGTGCACAGCTGCTGTAGTAGTCTTCCTTCTTTATATACATAAAAAAACAAGTCTCTGATCAAGAGACTTGAGCTGAGATCAAGATATCACCAACTTTCAACAAAATCTGAACCTCTAGGAAATGCTGTGTACCTATTTCCTGGTTTGGTAGTAATAACCCTACTGCCTCTAAAAGACAAGCCCAGTCTGTGGAACTGCCAATCCATTCTGCTTCACATGAGTCACAGAGAGCCTACAAGCAGCACAAGGCTTGTGGGGCAGCAAAGAAAAGAGCTAGCACAGGCAGGTTTTCATATATTATAATACTGGTAGCCACACGTGTAGATCAGGTGACTGTATGGGCAGCATTATTCTGGGCCACATTAGCTCTTTGAATTCTCACAACCCCCAAGCATGATTTTTCCTCACAGTATACATGTGGAGTCTGAGGCACAGACAGGTTAAGTAACTTGCCCAAGGTCCTACCACTTAGAGGAGTCAACTCAGACTAAATGCAAACTCCATGTACCTAACAGCTGTATTTCACAGCCAAGTTTTTGAGCCAAAAGCTTATCATTTGTAATCTAAAACAAGCCAGGTATAGTGGCTCATGCCTGTAATCGTAACATTCTGGGAGGTCAAGGAGGGTAGATTGCTTAAGCTCAGGAGTTCCAGACCAGCCTGAGCAAGAGTGAGACCTCATCTCTACTAAAAACAGAAAAACTGGCTCAGTCAGTGCCCATCACTCAGTGGGTAAGGCACCAGCCACATACACCAAGGCTGGTGGGTTCAAACCTGGCCTGGGCCAGCTAAGACAATGACAACTGTAACAACAACAAAAAATAGCTGGGTGTTGTGGCAGGCACCTATAGTCCCAGCTATTTGGGAGGCTGAGGTAAGAGAATTGCTTGAGCCCAAGTGTTGGAGGTTGTGAGCTGTGACGCCATGGCACTCTACCAAGGACACCATAGGGAGACTCTTGTCTCAAAAAAAGAAAAACTAACAGGGGTTGTAGTGGGTGCCTGTAGTCACAGCTACTTGGAAGGCTGAGGCTAGAGCATTGCTCAAGCCCAGAGTTTGAGGTTGCTGTGAGCTATGATGCCATGGCACTCTATCAAGGGTGATAAAATGAGAGCCACTCCATCAAAAAAAGTAATAATAATAAAATCTGGATCACTCTTCTTTTCCTCCTTCAAAATTATTCATGAAAATAGAATTCTAAAACCTGACAGTTAATTTTTGTTTAACCTATTTTATTATATAACTTACTCCGAATCTGCTTTTAATATTACTTCACACTGATTTCAGAATTTCTCTTTTATAAAACAGCTTTTCAAGATACTCGCCCATAATAACTCAGGCATTATATAATGAATATTATGGTTGACTAATAATAAAGATGCTTTAGACAATTTTATGCTTATGAATGGTGCACACAAAGTGGCTGTCCTCTCACTACAAGCTAGATAAATCAGTTGATGTTTTCATAATTATTTTGGGATTTTTGTTTGAAGGCTTATTATTGCTTCTAAACAAAAATAACACTTCCATTTATAAAACAATCAGCAAAAGCCACATAACACAGGGTGCAGGATTAGGCAGAGGTCATGAAGTAGGGGCATGAAAGAGACTGGTTTTTACTTTGTCCCTGACCCATTAGGACTCCTGACAAGTGGCTTTGCCTTCTGGGCCTATCCCTGTCGGCAAAGCAAACAGGTTGAATTCTGAGGTCCTATCTATCAAGATCCTGTGGTTTTCACATTATAAAATATTATCTCTTACAGTGCCATCAGACAAGATCAGTTGATCAAAACAGAAAGCTAGCTCGGAAAATTCTACAAGAGAAAGTAGATATTTTCTACAATGGTGAAAACAGTCCTGTTCTCAAAGAAAAACGAGAGGCAGAGAAGAAAAAGCAAGAAAGGAAAAAAAGAGCAAAGGAAACCCTAGAAAAAAAGAAACTACTGAAAGAACTCTGGGAATCCAGTAAAGTGTCCACTGAGAAAAAAACTACAGAACTAACAGAAATCTGCCAGGAAGCTTCCAGGGAATAATGGTGGTGAGTTCCATCACCAGCATTGTTATAGAGCTTTTAAAGAAATATTTTTGAAAGATTTCAAAGACTTCAAAGTTTCTTAAATGGTAGACTAAACTAGAGTGAACAGAAGTGCACCCTTCAAGAGTAAAACTATAAAGAAACACAGGGCAATCATTACTATAAAAGGACAGTGGCTGCTTTGGGGGCTATCGTTGTGATGCCACTCTGGGGGGAGCTGACATGGTTCTATTTCTTTTTTTTTTTTTTTTTTTTTTTTTTGAGACAGCGCCTCAAGCTGTCCCCCTGGGCAGAGTGCCGTGGCATTACAGCTCACGGCAACCTCCAACTCCTGGGCTCAAGCGAGTCTCCTGCCTCCCGCCTCCCAAGTAGCTGGGACCACAGGC